ACACTCTGTACTCTGTAGTGCTTTTCTCAAGAATTAGTTTTTCCATTTCTCCTGGGGAATAATTCCTTAGTTTGACCATGGAGGAATGTATGTGCAAATATCCATAGTCTTTTTTTTCCAGCCTGATATTCCTACTCTTCATAACCCTTTACATTAGCATAAACAGCCCCTCTTCATCCTAAGTCAAGTATTTCTGGATGGTATTTTTTTTTCTCTTCCATTTATTAAGTTCAGAGCTTGTTTTTCTGCTTTGCTTTCTCTCTTCATCAATCAGTCCCTAAAGCCCATTAATCATTTTTTTTACCTCGCTGAAAGCTTCTTTGCTTATTCCCATATCAGAAACCCAGGGCTGGTTGAGGTCCCAAGGTACTGAAGAAGCCTCACTGATATGTGCTTATTCTATCCTCTCTCTATCTCTCTCGTCCCCCACCCCCAGCCTCAGTTCGCAACCACAAACTGTTTTCTACAAAAATATTTCTACATTATGATTTGGGGAATTAGTCATATTAGTCATCGCAAGGCCGTGTGTGTGTGTGTGTGTGTGTGTGTGTGTGTGTGTGTGTGTGGTGTGTGCACACGCATGTGGTTTTAAGTGGTAAGATTATATTTGTTCTCGGTTACTTAAAAGATATTTTTCATATCCTTGGAGCCACAAATCTTTCAGGTCTCCTGAGTGCTTGGATTGAGTATAATTCTGGACCATGGAGCTATGATGTATCAGTAGAATGTAGCATTCTATTTTAGAGCTGTCATCTCAGAAGTAGAGAGGAAAATAAGCAGATATGGGGAAAACAGACTGTATTTGTAGGATTTAGGATTCTTGGGGAAAGGGAAAAGCAAAATTTAAATAGCCTTGGCCCACACATACCTAAAGAAGATTAGCTCTTAGAAGCTAGTGTTAGGTATATAGACTTTTTATTATGTCACTTTCTTTTTTTTTATATCTCAATTATATTGAGTTATAATTGACAAATGAAATTGTAAGATAGACTTATTTTGCTTAGCATAATACCCTCTGGTTCCATCTACATGATTGCAAATGGCAAGATCTCATTTTTTTGGTGGCTTTTATCATATGATCTCACTGATATGTGGAATTTAAGAAACAAAACAGAGGATCATAAAGGAAGGGAGAAGAAAATAAAACAAGATGAAATCAGAGAGGGAGACAAATCATAAGAGACTCTTTTTTTTTTTTTAAAGATTTTATTTATTTGACAGAGAAAGAGACAGAGAGGGAACACAAGTAGGGGGAGTGGGAGAGGGAGAAGCAGGCTTCCCGTGGAGCAGGGAGCCCCATGTGGGGCTTGATCCCAGGACCCTGGGATCATGACCTGAGCCAAAGGCAGACACTTAATGATGGAGCCACCCAGGTCCCAAAAGACTCTTAATCATAGGAAACAAACTGAGTGTGGCTGGAGGGTAGAGGGGGCCTGGGGATGGGGTAACAGGGTGATAGACATTAAGGAGGGCACGTGATGTAATGAGCACTGGGTATTATATAAGACTGATGAATCACTGACCTCTACCTCTGAAACCAGTCATACATTATATGTTAATCAATTGAATTTAAATTAAACAATAAAAAATAAGAATAAAAAGAAATTGTAAGATATTTAAAGTGTACATCACAGTGATCTGATATACATATGTGAAAGGGCTCCCTCCGCCTGGTTAATTAACACACCGTTACCTTATGTGTTTAGCTTCATTTATTTGTTTGTTTTGGGTGAGAATATTTAAATTCTACTCTCTTAGCAAATTACATTTATACAATACAGTGTTATTAACTGTAATCACCATGTTTTACCTTAGATCCTCATACACTATATGGCTTCCTGGATTGGGAGACCTAATATTATAAAAACACCCAAAGCAATCTATAGACTCAATGCAATCTCAATCAAAAATCCTAACGGTTTTTTGGGTTTTTTTTTTCCTCTGGAACTTGACAAGGTGATTCTAAAATGCATAGGGAAGGGATGCCTGGGTGGCCCAGTTGGTTAAGCGTCTGCCTTCGCCTCAGGTCATGATCCCAGGGTCTTGGGATGGAGCCCCACGTCAGGGTCCCTGATCAGCGGGGAGCCCGCTTCTCCCTCTGCCGCTCCCCCAGCTTGTGCTCTCTCTCTCTGATAATAAATAAATAAATAAATAAATAAAATCTTTAAAAAAATATAATGTATAGAGAAGTATAAAAAGCCAAGGATGGGTAAGCTAATTCTTAAAGATGAAAGTAAAAAGACTTGCTCCCAAGACTTACTAAAAGGGCACTGTGGTACTGATCAGAGATACACAGACCGATGGGACAGACTAGAAAGACCAGATACGGACACAAGCATAAAAACATGCTTGATTTATGACAGAAGTGACATTCAAAGTAATGGTCGGGGCTCCTGGGTGGCTCAGTTGTTAAGCGTCTGCCTTCGGCTCAGGTCATGGTCCCAGGGTCCTGGGATCGAGCCCCGCGTCGGGCTCCCTGCTCCGCGGGGAAGACTGCTTCTCCCTCTCCCGCTCCCCCTGCTTGTGTTCCCTCTCTCGCTGTGTCTCTCTCGGTCAAATAATAAAATCTTAAAAAAAAAAAAAGAGTAATGGTCAAAGCCAACCTTTTCCATAAATGGCACTGGAACAATCGGATATCTCCATATGGGGGAAAGAAAGAAAAGGAATTGGATGCCTACCTTACACCATATGCAAAAAACTCCAAATTGATACAGACTTAAATGTCAAAGATAAAACTTTAAAGCATACTCACATATGCTTTATATATGCTTTATATATGTATAAACACTCTTATCTTCATGAGCTCAAGGTATTGAAAGAGTTCTTGTATGCCATAAAAGTCTGTAGTCAAAAATTATACATTTGGTAAAATTAAGGCTATCTCTTCATTAAAAGATAACATAAAGAAGACAAATAGCTACACAATGAGAGAATATATTGGCCATACATGTAATTGATAAACTTATTAGTATCCAGGATATATAAAAATACCTAAATCAATAAAAAGACAATCCAATCTGAGAAAAATAGGCAAAATAACTTCAGTAGGCTCTCCACAGAAGAGGAAATAAAAATGGCCAATAACCATGAGTTCTCAACTTCTTTAATTATCAACGAAATGCAATTAAACCATCATGCAATTAAACCACCTCGTATCCACCATGTTAGCTCAAAATAAAAATACTGGCAGTGTTGATGAGGATGAGGAGCAACAGAAATTGATGGTAGAAATTGCAATATGTTACATATTTTGGAAGGGTTTAGCACAATGTAGTACACTTGAAGATACATAATGCATACCTTAGGACCCAGCAATTAGGTATATACACTAGAGAAAGTTGGTGCACAGAACACAAAGATACATGTATAAGAGTGTTCTTTTTTTTCTCTCCATAAGTTATTTTTTGGAAATTGGCAAGCCTACAGAAAAGTTGCAAAATTAATATAATGAATCTCATAAAGCCTTACTGGATAGTAGCTAGTGGAAAGAACATACATGGGCTTTGAAGTAAGTGATACTGGCTTGATATCTCAGCTTCACCACTTACTAGCTGTGTGACCAGGGGCAATCTCTAAAGATCAGCGAGCCTCAGTGATCTCATCTGTAAATCAGAGGTAATGAAATGCCTACCATATTGGGTATTGTAAGGATTAAACACATTAATGTATACCAGGCCCTGAGCATAAATGCCTGCAACATAGTTGTCCAGCAAATTATGGCTGCCATTATTAATATTTTGTTGCTGTTGTTAAAAATGTTGGCTCATTTTATTTCTTCAGAACCTCTTAGTGAGAGCACATTTACTAATATGTATTCATTTTTCATGTTTCACTACAGAATGCAAAAAGATTCAAGAGAAAAATAACATTTTTTTCATCCTCTATTACTTTTTCCTTCTCATTTATCTATTACAATTTCAATATTAGAAAGTACAAACCAGTAGGAAAACATGCCATAAATTAAAAAAACATTTAACAAAAATGTTTTTATAATTTAAAAAAATTATACAGAACTAAAAAACTCCCTTTGAAATAAAAGTATGATTTAACAAAAGTAAAAGGACACTGAAGCACAAAAAAGTTAAATAACTTGATCAAGAAGCAATATTAGAAATAGAGTGTAGGTTTTCTAATTTCTAGCCCAAGATCCTACACACTAAGTTGTAATATCAGCAATTATTTCTAAAGAAAACTGAATTAAGTAAATAGCAGTAGCCTTCAGCCCTAATGCTGTGACTTCCTTGCCTTAACTACAAAATGAATGAAATCACATGTAAAACCCTCCAGGCCCCTTTAATCTCCAGTGAAATTTGATTCTGTGTCTGAAGTCTTTCTCACTGACCCCCAGATCCACAGTCATCTTTTCCTCTTGGGAACTCTGCCTGTACCCCACTATTTATGTTTGCAAACTGCTTATAATCATGTTGCCACGCTGTACTGTTACATATCTCTTCGTAAACCTATCCTCTATCTCCAATTAGATTGCACTGCTTGGGGTTGCAGACTTTCTTATGTGCCTTTGTATTTATACGTCTTTGAGTACAAAAAAAAAAAAAAAAAATCCAGAATTCAGAGAGGGAGACAAACCATGAGAGACTCTGGACTCTGGGAACCAAACTGAGGGCTACAGAAGGGAGAGGGGGTGGGGAGATGGGGTAACCGGGTGATGGGTATTAAGGAGGGCACATGTGGTGATGAGCACTGGGTATTATATGCGACTAATGAAACATTGAACACTACAACAAAAACTAATGATGTACTATATGCAGGCTAACTGAACATAAAAAAAGAAAAAAATCAAGCCACATTTTAAATTTCATTTTCTGTCCCTAATAGCTCCTAATATAGTGCTTTGCACAGACACAAAATAAATGCATAAGGATAATGACTGTCAGATTGCAGTTGTAAGAAATAGAACTAGTCACCATTGCTACAGTAACATGGGCATAGGATTCATGGATTCTGCCTTGAAAGCAAATGCTTGTTTTCGTCTGTTCCAGAAAGATGCTGTGAAGCGAGTATTCTCTGGCATTCAGCCTACAGGAATCCCCCACCTCGGCAATTACCTGGGAGCCATTGAGACCTGGGTGAGGTTGCAGGAAGAACATGGCTCGGTGCTGTACAGCATCGTTGACCTACACTCCATCACTATCCCCCAGGAGCCGGCCGTCCTTCAGCAGAGCATCTTGGACATGACTGCTATTCTTCTCGCCTGTGGCATAAACCCAGAGAAGAGCATCCTTTTCCAACAATCTCAGGTTAGCTTCTCACATTAGAACCAAGAAAACTTGTATTTTCAAAGTATTTGAGGAAAACTTTGAAGGAAAATTTATATAGCTCCTGTTTGTGATTCTTTTAAAATTGTTCGAGTGACTTCATCAGCTGCGATGATTTCATCTTCATGTTTACCCTATATTCATATCTTTAAATGTCATCATAATGCAAATAGTATTTTTCACCTTTTCCTCCACTGTTCTTGCTTCATAAACCAAAATGTTGCATCTCATTAGTACTTGTAAGTCTGAAATTGTTTTTCTCAGCTTGGTTGCATCCAAACTGCTGAATTCATACTGTTGACTAATCTCCTGGTGATCAAGGGTAGAATTTAGTGGTTTTGCATAACTTCAGTGTTGCTTTACTTGGGTATTGCATTTGGAAGGCCTATTGGATAATTCCCATTGTTCCTTCTTTGTATAATAGCTTTTGAGAAGACTTGAGAGAACTAGCTGGGAAATTGGAAGACAATGTCCAGTCTCTTGAGTCCAAGCCAAGAAAGGCTTCAGAACAAAGCCAAAATATTTGACTGATATCGTCACTATGGATGAATCAGTTTATTCTTGGACGGGCAGACAGCCTGGACCAGACAGGGCACTTAAGAGACTCCATAGCAAGGAAGATGAAAAATTTAACTGGATCATGCCCTCATTGCATATCTGCTTGAACCTTGTGACAAAGCCACAGCACATGTTAACATGTATGCATGTGTGGTATGGGTTATCCATGTGTGTACCTCTTGCCTTGATCATAAACTTCTGACAGTCGCTGTTTTTATGTATGTGTTATCACCCACAGAACTTAGTATAATGATTCACAGAGTGACCCTTTAAAAAAATATGTAAGAGATGAATATCTTCAAAAATAAATATATTTATCAACTTAAAAGTTGTTTCCAGCTTGGAAATAATGTGATAATAGAATCTGACCATTAAAATGTCCATAAAGGCAATTTACCTCCATTTCCTTCCTCACATTCAGTCAGAGAGCCTTTACGTACACATAACTTTTCAAATTCAATCTTGGACTGATCTAATTGTTTTAAATATATAAATATACTTGCCTATGTTGGGCAGGTATGTGTCTCCCTATAATCTCCATCCACTCATTTTGCTTATGCTCTCTAAAAATACATAGTAAATCAACTCTGTCTCCCACATGACTGCTCTTCAAATACTCAGAGACATTTGTTACATAGTAGCCTTACCTTACAGGTCCTTACCCCATAGGTCTTGCCTTCTTCAAGCTAATTGTCCCACCTCAGGAGCTCTCTCGCCATCTCTTTGAAAGAAATATGCCTGTCCTAGTTCCTGAAACTGTAAAGTGTTCCTAAACCTGAAAAGTGTTTATTCACACTCTTTAAGTCTGTCTCCGACATCATAATACTGATCATCATTAGAACCACTTTGTAGGTTACCTGATACATTTTCATTTCATCTAAGCTGTTTTTGATACAAACTCCCTTTTGATCCTTATGTGATGCCATTTCTAAAAATCGTATTCCCAGTGCCTATTTCCATACTTCTGGAAGGCCCAAATGTCTACATCTCCACAAAGTAACCAGTTGCCAGACTGCTTTGTTAAGTGATGTTTAAAATTAAAGGCTCATTTCAGCCACATTCATTGCTTGCACTTTGAGCTCATACCCCCAGGAATGATAACCACATTATAATTTTTGGCAGTGACATCCGCAAGCACTTAAAATTTGCAATAATTGAGGTCTCTTCTTCAACATGGTACTTTGTTGTTCAAAACAGCAATTGAAAGGGTCGCCCACAGTGTGGGAGACTTTGTAAGAATTCCCTCATAGATGAGGAATCATGAAAGTCACCTTCCTTTTGTTTTTTTTATGTTATGTAATGAGCTCTTTGGTTCCCGTAGTGGTTGTGGGTCTAGGTCAGAGAGGGCAGGTCACTGGTGTTGCCTGTTTCCTCGGTGCCCTCATGCAGCTCCACACTGCCTCACTGGTCCCTGGCTCCCGTCCTGGACTGCATCTCCCTCCAGGGAGTTTGGGTAGCCTGCCAGGAAAATGTGAGGGAAGTACTCATCTGCCCACAGTCTACACTTTGTCCCACAAAGACAGTGTGCAAGACTTCCTCAGGTGTCTTTCTGACCTCAAGACATATTTGGTCTGGGCCATTCCCTTTTTTAACTCAGGCAACCAACCTTAATACAACTCAGTGGATAGACTGGGTATTTTATCAGGTTTTCTTTCCTTTTTTAAATATTTAATAAAGAAAAATTTAAATATGAATGGAAGAGTAGGGAGAATCGTGTACTATACCCCCCATCACTTACTAGCATTTTGTAATTTGTCTCATCTGTGTTGTTTTTTGTTGTTGTTGAAGTCTTTTTTTTTCAGATTTATTTATTTATTTGAATGAGAAAGAGAGAGAGTGTGCACACAAGAGAGGGAGGGGCAGAGGGAGAGGGAGAGAAAGTTTTAAGCAGACTCTGCGCTGAGCATGGAGCCCAGTGCAGGGCTTAAAGGGGATACTTGTCATGGGGCTCAATCCCACAACCCTGAGATCACGACTCTGAGTCAAAACCAAGAGTCGGATGCTTAACTGTCTGTACCACCCAGGTGCCCTGGTTGTGGCTTAAGTATTTTAAAACAGATAACACACATCATGGCATTTCAGTCCCTAAATATTTCAGTGTGCCTCTCCATAAACTGAGGAAATTTTCTTACATAACCACCATATTGTCATCACACCTAACAAAGCTATGAAAATTCCATATGATCATCTAATGTCCAGTCCATATTCAAATTACGCTGATTCTCCCAAAATGTCTTTTATATTTGGCTTGTTTAAATAATGATCCAATGAAGGTCCACACATTACATTTTTTTCATATATTTTTATTTGTTGCTGAAGTTTTGTTTCCCCTAAAGTTGATCCTGCATTTGAAAAGAATTAAAAACTTAGATTTTTAGGGGGCGCCTGGGTGGCTCAGCGGGTTAAGCGTCTGCCTTCAGCTCAGGTCACGATCCCAGGGTCCTGGGATCAAGCCCCACATCGGGGCTCCCTGCTGAACAGGGAGCTTCTCCCTCTCTCTCTGCTGTTCTCCCCCACTCTCTCTTTCAAATAAATAAATAAAATCTTTAAAAAAACTTAAGATTTTTATACTCCCACTTTTTTCATGCCTTTGATATGTTAATCGGGTTTCCTTTTATTTAGTATAAAATTAGCTCTTTTGAACACAAAAATAAACCTTATAATTTTTTGTTGCTTTCTCTTTGTGCTGATGTATATTGGCTGATGGTTAGTGGCTATAAACTACCATTCATATAGTTGCTCATCACCATTTTTGATAGTTTGAATAGAAACTCTGCTTGCCTAGTGCCCATAGAATGCCCGGACATCAGTTCCTTCAAAGCAGCCATGAAGCTTCTGCTTGTTCAAGGAGGATGGTGGGAAGATCTTCCTTATGCTAGAAAGTATGAAGGCATGTACTGGATTCGCTTCTTAGAACCATTCTCAAGTAGGAGTATAATCGGATAAGCTAGTGTCCCTGAAACAGTGATTGTTCTAGACAGCTGGCCCCATATTTGCAGTGTTCTAGTGGGTGGAAGAATCCTCATGGTGTCTGTTTTGTGTCTTATCATACAGTAGTTAACAACTGCCTTTTTCAGTCTGTGGAGTCTCTAAGAGATGGGGACTGAAAAGGAAAATACTCATAGCATTGTCAGATTTAGAAAAAAAATGAGAAGTCATATTTATTAGAAAACTAATATTTTTCAATGTGTAAGATCTAAAAAGCCTTTCATGTATATGAACTCACTTTTAATCCTCGAAAGAGCACATGGGTTAGGCATTACTGTTCTTTCACAGATGAATAAATTAAGGTATGAAAAGATTGAGTAAATTATAAAATATCCTTAAAACCATCTCTGAATGGTGCCTGGTACTTAGTAAATGCTTAACAAATATATCTTCCTAATTTAACCAGAGGTCATCCAGGTAACAAATCCAGGACTCTTTTTTTTTTCTTCCTAAAACACCGCTTTTAGAAGGTGTTCTCATGGGAGAGAACCTTATGCTGCGCTCCCCTGTCCCATGCCTTTGCCTCAGTAGCTAATGGCAGAGAGGCAGTGGAGAGCCGAGCTGACCCCAAGGTCCTCATTATTTCTTGCCTGGACACTCCTCTCACCCCCTTCACTCCTGCCTCAGGCTCTCGCGACAGCAGTCCATCCCCTACCCTGTACCCATGCTCATCTTTCTACCTCAGATACCTCAGCACCTCTCTCCTTACCCTCAGGGTAAAAATCTAAGCTCAGTTTCTAGAAAGTCCTTCAAGAATGAGGCCCCTGATTTGGATAGATAGATAGATAGATAGATAGATAGATAGATAGATAGATAGATAGATAGATAGAT